TGTCTGACGCGTCTGCCTCCGCGACCCGAAAGGAGAAGCGGCGATGGAAGATGATGATGATGATGATGAGTGGTGTTCTGCATGAACTAGCCAGAATCACTGACGAAAGCAGAGCTGAATCTAAGGATTAAGCTCTCGGTGTTCAAGTCAATCATCATCCTCCCATGGTCATCCCGTTGGCTGTGACTGAAAAACGTCGATCCAGGCTACAAGCAGTTAAAATAGGCATTGGGGAAGAATCGTTGGGCTCACGCATTCGGCGGTAGATATATCGGAGAGAGACTTGGCGTATAGTCGCAGTTTCTTGCAACTGAGAAGTCACCGTTGCAGTGATTTGGGAACGTCTTGCGAATGCTTCCAAAAAGGAAGAGAAAACAGGTAAAACTTGCTCAGCTGATCGACCAAAATCCCGGAGGACAGCCATGAGTAACCCGAAGAAAGCGGCTGGAAGGACTTTGCTCTAGACTTGGGTTATCTTTTGCTTAAATTCAAATGCTGGTCCCGGATCAGAATAGATGGAATCACCCTGTGACGCTCCTGCGTTCGCGACCCGAACTGATAAGCAGTAATTGAAACTGAATAACTTACTAATTATACTATACTTAATAATGGCTATCCTGCGCAGTGTGAGCCCATTTTTACCAGCCAAATGTAGTACCATAACTGTAATAATAATGGTCATTTGTATCGTTTCCAGAAATCATTGGTTTGAGTCGTTGGAATTATCTCGGCACAAAGTGGTATAATTTCGTCTACTGTTGAAATGGTAGAAAGCCTGTGTAAACGATTTCTGCAACGATTTCCTCGGGAACTAGAATCGTTCGCGGTCCGTACTTATTTCTGGATCGTAAGAGGTTTGCCATTCCGTGGCACTGATTAAACTTCATTAGCTGCACATTTTCACAAACCATTTAAGGCTACAAGCGTTCGAATCGATGTCGAAGATGCGACGATATCAAATATTCAAATACCCATTAGCCATTATCGCCCGCCGTAAAGATATCTGAAAAATCTGCAATGAAT